TCATAGGAAAGGTAAATTTAATGTAGTACCTGATGCACTTTCTCGTAGTCCTGTGGATCCTGCGCCTGAAGAGCCATCCACATCATGTCTTGTAGTAGCTACGACTGATAATATTGATAATAATGTCTTAGATTTGGATTTAGACAACTTAGACAGTTTTTATGAAAAAATGCGTAGGCAAATTTTAGAGTCTCCAAATTCTTTCCCTCAGTGGACAGTTAAACAGGGTTATGTATATAAATTTGCTCCTTCTAAAGTACCCATAGAGACTAATATTTCAGATTGGAAATTACTTGTACCTAAACCTCAGAGACGAAAAATTATTCATACAAATCATGACTTAGCCACAGCTTCTCATGCTGGATATTCAAAAACAGTTGCTAGGGTTCAGCTATCATACTACTGGCCTAGAATGCGACGGGATATATGTAGGTATGTGAAATCGTGTAAGGTCTGTGCTTCACAAAAATCCCCTAACTATGCGAAGTATGGATTAATGGGCATGGAGAAAAAGGTTTGTTTTCCATGGCAGGTTATTGCACTTGACTTAATGGGTCCTTTACCCAGAAGTAAAAACGGTTTTCAGTATATTCTCGTTGTCAGCGACTGGTTTACTAAGTATCCAGTAATATGTCCGCTAAGAAATGCGACGTCTCAAGCAATTTTGAAATTTCTTGAAAATGACGTTTTTTTGATTTATGGGGTTCCCCAACGTATCATCTGCGATAACGGCAGACAATTAATCAGTAATTCAATGAAAAAGTTAGTTTCCGATTATGGATCAAAGATTTCTTATACTCCGTATTACCATCCTCAGGCAAATTTTGTTGAAAGATCTAATCGAACAATTTGCACAGCTATTAGAAGCTATATAGGGAATTCTCACAAAGAATGGGACAAAGAATTAGGAAAAATTGGTTATGCCATTAGAACGGCTGTACACGAAGTCACCGGGTATAGTCCCGCTTTTTTAAATTTTGGACGAATTGTTCCATGTAATGGAAATTATTATGGCAATATTGCATCAAATGATTTGGAGTGTGGTAATAGGGATGTATGGAAAGAAAATTTGGGTAATCTTAAAGACATTTATAAAGAAGTTGAGAAAAAGTTAAATTTAGCTTATGCTAAAAATTCCAAGTATTATAATCTCAGGCGGAGAGAGAAAGAATTTTGTGTAGGCGATAAAGTCTGGAAACGGAATATCGTTTTGTCTAACGCAGCAAACAGCTTTAGTCAAAAATTAGCGCCACGATATGTACTATGTACAGTTAGTAGAAAAAAGAGTAAATTAGTTTATGTCTTGAAAAATGAAGACGGTAGTCACGCCGGAGAGTGGCATATTCAGAATTTAAAACCATACTATGGTTCATTATCAGATATCTCGTCGAGTGGGCACGAATCTGGATCTGAAGATTAAATTGTAAATTTTTTGTATATAATCATAGGATTAATTTTTCCCTGTGTAAATTTCCATGCTACATTGTTATATGGTCCTAATACAGTACTGTATGCATCTTTCTAAGTAAGATAGAATAAGTTAGTTAAGAGAGCTCTCTACCATAGTAAGATAGGTTAAGCAGCAAATCATTAGAAAATGGTCAAAGTAGTTTATTCTCTGAGTAAATAAAAATTGTACCCATGATACAATTTTTATTTTTCATAGGAGGGGGGTGATTGTAACATGAAAATTTACCTTTATCTCAACTTGAGTATCAGAATGATACAGCTTCCCCTTGTTGTGCTCAAATTTATATCAAGTACATCCTAAGTAAACAGCTAGACTTCTAGTTCACATTTTATTACAATACCTTACAAGATGTGAATTACATTATATGACAATTTTGGGTATTTCATCATGCTCTTGTACCTGTTGGATTGGTTGGCTCACTGCTTATGTTTTTGGGAACTTTTATTGACTGAAATTTATAATATTTACTTAGATTTGATTATACATTTTGGAGCATAACTTACCTCAGTGCAGTCCAGGTATCCCTGGTGCAGGTAGATCAAACCCAGGAAGCAAGCTAAAGTCCAGAGTAGTCTGAAAGCAAAACAGTTTATTAGTTGGAATCAGGGATTACCTATTTGGGTCCACCGAAGTTCTCTACTCACCAGCATAGTTGTGCAGGCCCCATTACTTTCCTTAATTTTCCTGATTCAATTCTTTGGAAAGCTATTTTCAAATTAGTGATTGTTTATTTTTATTTTCTTGTCTGTCACTAATCATTATGATAAATTCCAAGTATTTCAAAGTCGATTTGTCTTATGTCAATGCCATAAGTCACGTTAGGTCCTCTTCCTATTTCAAGTACCGTTCTGCTCGGGACATACCTCTTCGAATTGGTACCCGATACTCCGGAAGTCAGGTCGATTCGAATTTTAAATGAAAGTCATGGTCAGGTATCATAGATTGTCAATTGACATTAAGTATCACGTGAGTCGAAGCTTTTATTTAACTGGCCAAGATCCAACACAGGTGTCAAACCGTGATTGGTCTGTTGATCACGTGCTTCAGCATTCCTAGCAGCGTGGGTGCGCAATATGCAAAGTAGGCCGTGGATGTTGTTTTTTTGAATAGTTTTGGTGTCTGTTTCCGGCTCTTCTGGAGTTTGGGGAAGGGTTATCCGCCTTCTTCCACAACGATAGACGCCATAATGGTCGAAAGACGATCATTTTTGTTTCTGCCTTGGCAAAGGGCAAAACTAATATTTTCTACATTGTTTTCTCGTGAAGTCGCTCCCCCGTGGAAGGTGAGTCTTTTAAATCATTTTTTTCTTAATGCAGTATATGAAACATATGCATTTACCAATGTAGATTTGTCGGCTTCCACGAGACCCTCAGTTTCTGCTGTCTCCACGAGTCACCGCGTGGCCCCAAATTGAACCACCATTCATTTGGAATACTTTTGGCATGACATTTGACACCTCTACCGGGAATAGTTTTGGCAATCCTGATTTCTGGCACGATCCTGGCACCCCCATTCACCTCCATCATGATTTCGTACAGCAAGGCTTGTTCTCCAGCCTGAAGGCACGACAGGTTCACCACCTTCTTGACCTTCTTCCGGCACTAGTAGCTGGGAAACCTCAATGTCCTCAAAATGGGGCCCTGCTACAAGGATCACCCATTGAAGCTATGCTGAGGATGGGCTGCACTGGGGCCAAGGGCCAATCAGGCAATGCAAACTGGTGAGCTCGTTCCAGATTCATTTCTTGTTTTTTTATGGGATAGTTATATTTAAAACACTACAATTCACTGATTTTTTTTTATGTGCACATCATGAGTAAAATTGTGATAATTCTTATTTTAATAAGTTTTGGTGAGTCATGAAATAGGGTTCTGTAGCTAAAGGCAATCAGATCTAAGTAGCTATCATATACCTAAAAGTTACAAATTTTAAGTCATTATCTTGATCTTTAGAAGTGATAAAAGTGGGCCTGTTATGTAAACCCTTGCAGCTGCATACGGTAGGTACCTCCACTAGGTTAACACTTTCATTATTAAGTCACATAATACACATAAAGTTGACTGCCAAGCACTTTTATTGGTTTGTTTCAAAGTTGAAATTTAATAACTTGTGAGCAATGAACTTTGAAGATCAATAGACTTATTTTGACCAAACTTCTTGATTTCTTATTTTTCATTTCAACAAATTTAAGTGGCGCCCCCTTTCAAAGTATCAAAGAAACTGAGTAATAACATCTGACCATTAACTCACGACCCAGCTCTCCAGACACATTGGCTGCCGTTCCTTGGCAACACCATTTTGCAGAGCTTGGTATTTATTTTTGGTAAATCTTTACTAAAATGCAAAAGGTGGTGACAAACTGTTGAAAAAAGTCCTATTTTAGTCCATATCCTCCATTATCACTCATTTCTAGTGGGCGAAACCCTCTTCATTCACAAAATGATAATTTGTTATGATGTTGAGCTATTTTATAATTTGATTCATTAAGTAATTTTCCTGTACAAATCAGCATTACATGAATAATATAGATATCATTCGCTAGAGTAGCAACATATACACAGTCGTAAAACAGAACCTACACGATCATCGGACATCTCTGAATGTCAACTCAGATCTAATGTTTATTTTTCAAAATAGTCCCAAAACCGAATACATCAGTCCACATAGTCGGTATAGAGATGGAGATGACGCCTTCCAAAGTAGTCGCACCAATTGGTACTCAAGTACAGTTCACTTGTAAATACCAGAGTGAATCATCACATGATCTCGATATAAAAATTCAGAGGTCGTATTGTTCAGATTGTGATACCAGAGTAATGAAGAAACCTGGAGGTGCAGAACTGACCTTCATGCATGTAGTCAGTTACAACCAAGAAACTATCAGATGCATTGTTTTTGATAGACAACAACATGAAGTTGGACGTATTAATGTAATGATAACTCCAGGTTTGAACAACATTATGAATCACAGTAAAAATGCTTCCTGTGGTAATAAATGTCCTATATATGTGTTTCACTTGTAGAAAATTATATAGTTTCAGTTCTCCAGAGTGTGCTATTTAGATTATAGGTTGTCCAAGATTGTATCTCTGTGATAAAATCATTAATGGTACCAATGTATTCCATCATAGATTTATTGTTAACAGGTTATGGTGATCTAACTTATCATTGTTAGTAAGTGTATGTGCAATTAGGTTAGATAACGATTTGCATTTTCAAAGGAATGTTTCACTTCATCTTTGAAGATGTGTAAATCGAGAATACTAACTCAATATGTGTTAAATAATTACTAATAATGCTCACACAACTGACTCACAACTGAAATCTACAGAAAAATCAAAGAAATTAAGTTCAATATCATATCATAATTGAACCAAAATGTTTCCTATAAAGGTATCCTTGAATTATATATTGCTTTCTGAATCTTGGCTGGAGTTGGCTGTGGAGTACTACAATTTGAAAAATACTAGTGTTTGTCGAAACATATCCATCAAAACAAATGGAATATTGTATTCTGAACATATTTCAGCCGGAGTAACAACCACCGAAATCCCTGATCCGACCACTGTAACACCACCACCGACCACTATTGAGGTAACCATACAAGATGCCAACATTGGAATCTATGCAGTCGGTAGCACTGTAAGGTATAACTGTTCTGCTAGATCTCTTATAGGACAATCGGTGAGTAATAAAATCCAAAAAGAGCTTATACAATAATCAATAATTCATATACATTTAATTCTACCTTAACTCGAAGGTTCATTATATTAATTGATATTATTTACATATTTCCATAGCAATATAACTCATTAAAAATAGAAGATAAAGTGAAGCAGATTATACAGTCTCAGAAGCATTTTTGTAGTAGTCTGTGACTCTGTATATAAAATGTATATCAAAGATTCATTGAAGTATTTGATGATATTTATGATAATCATCAAATACTTCGATGAATCTTCGATGTAATAATATGATATTATTCATTATTTCAATATAATATCATCAAATAATGCGATGAACCTTCGATATATATTTTATTCAACCTCAACTCGAAAGTTTATTTTATTAATTGGTATTATTTACATATTTCTATAGCTACATAACTTATTCAAAATAAAAGATAAACTAATACAGATGATAAAAAGTCACAGTATCCTACACTATAATATTAGAGGTCTGAAGCGTACTTCTTCAAGCTTCAAGAAGATCTATTTTATTTATCATTTCAGCCGGACATCAGCTGGAGGAAGGCAGATGGAGAGTTGCCCTCAAGAGCTATCGATAATGGAAGGGGAATCCTGGTGATTACAAACTTAAGAGTCTCTGATTCAGGAAGATATATTTGCGAGGCTAGCGACGGATACTCTATCCAGACAACCAGTGTTAATCTCAATGTCGGAGGTATGTAGAAAAATACTATGGAAATCCCTTTAGGTACTTTTATCTAATATTCAACTCTTTGTTCAATGCTACAATCAGTGAAACACGCCTCAATACATACAGGTAACCCAGTAGTATATGTATAGCCGAATTATTAGTCATAGATTGACAGAATTGAGTATTTCTGTGATACAACGGTTATTTTTCCAGAACCTAATAATGAAGGACCAAGAATTGCGCTATCACGATCTTACGTAGATGTTAATGAGGGCCAACCCATAGAAGTCCAATGTGCTGCCACTGGAGTGCCAACTCCTGAACTGAGTATCGTGAGATCCGATGGCCAACGACTCAATCCACTGGTAATAATCACATTGAGTATTTTTTTCACATGTCAAAATCTGATATATTGGTGATTTCAACCAATACCAATGCTGCTAAAACTGCTCCTCCTCGATAAAATTTTGTTTACATTGAAGTGTCATAATTATTCAGACTTACTTGTCTGCCACCTAGTTTCTTTCCACCTATCAAATGTGGAAGTAACAATGAAATGAATAGATACAATTAAAGTTACAGAGTGGTGCAAATCTAATAAACTATCGTTCAATATCAATAAAACGAATCAAATGTTTTCTTGATGATTTGACACTTGCTTCCGACACATTGAGAATAAAAACAGTAAAGGATGCTTAGGAATTCATATCGATTGCAAACTAAAATTCAAAGATCATGTCATGTTATTGAAGAAAAAATATCTTCTGGATGTTACGCAGTGAAGCTTATTTTGGATTACACAGCGACTAAGATGGTGTACCACTCTCTCATTGAGTCACATCTACGATACGGTATTGCGTTCTGGGGAAGTTGTCTCACGAGTCTTACAAACCATTATTCAGATCGCGAAATTGATTATATTATTATTATTGTAAATTTTACTATTTTTTAATGACAACAGTAACATACAAACTGGTAACAACTACGAAATAGTCACAATGCTCAAAGTGGAATGAAATGTTAAATAAATACAAAAAGCTCAAAGTCATTCCCACACAATGTTTATAAAATGAACAACAATGGTAGAACAATGCCACGCAGAACATTGAATTACATCCTCCTGAAATCTATGCATTTACTTATATAAACAAATACTGATACAAGTGATTCAGGAAAGAGTCACTTGTATCATTATTCGTTTATACAAGTCGATGTTATTCTTTTCTCAATCACTTGTATCAGTATTCGTTTATACTCGATTGCATAGATTTCGAGAGAATGTAAATCAATGTTCTGTTTGGCGTTAGCCAGGGAAGTAGTTGTTTTTCTCCCGAAATCTACCATTGTTGTTCATTTTATGAACATTGTGTGGAAATGATTTCGAGCCCTTTGTATTTATTTTTTTAAAGAAACTGTTCGTACAGGGTAATGTTAAATTTTGCCCAAACTGAATCTCCTACACTGATTCGGCAGCTATTGGAAAATTATCAACAAACGATTCAGCTACCTCATGTGCGTCTTCAACAATATTTGAATTGTGGTTCAGGGTGATGACATCTCCACAGGGCGCCTGTCGATTTCCTAACTCACTGTTTATTTTCCATCATCATTAATTTCAGAAAAGTATGCACTCTATGATTTTCTGATTGCAGACTACTGTTTTTTCAACCTTCCTCTATACGTCTCTAGGTGGGGATCTACTTCCTCACAAGCTGTAATGAATCGATCACATCAATATTTCAGGGCTTCACGAACGGAAGGTTCTACATCCCGAGGGCTCGAGTATCCGATTCCGGCGAATACCAGTGCATCGCCACCAACCGAGTCTCCACGGACTCAGGTCGATTTATCGTCGAGGTGCGCGAAACCACCGTTGGTCCCATCGTCCAAGTCAACATCTCTCCCATGAACTTCACTGGAACCACTGGCGATACGGTCATTCTGAGGTGCCAAGCCAGCACTTTCGCTCAAACCATCAGATGGTCGAGGCAAGGTGGAAGGTTGCCTTTCAATTCGCGCGAAGACAGAGGCACCTTGATGATCTACAACGCCACTCCTGATGACACGGGGGTGTACGTTTGCACCATCACGTCTGCTACCGGTACTAGTGGCACCAACAGAGCCACGGTTTCTATAATGGGGAGCAACGAAGGGTAATCAACGAGTTTTTTTTTTCTTTTTCACTCGAACTTCAAGCTATAAGAGATGCCGTTCAAGATCATGGTCATGCAGAAATCAATGCACAAGGAAAATTGTGTCGTCACAAACGTCATTTATGTCAGGTTTTCAACTTGGCATCATCAAAAAGATTCATTCACCGATAAAGTCTCACACTAGATGTATGATACTGAAATGACATGACAAAGGTATTTTAGGACGAGTGATAGATATTTTTTTATGGCTATCGTAATATTTGAGTTCATCAGAGATCCTAATGAAATGACCATCACGCCCCCTGCCGTGACTGATGGCACTAACAGTGCCACGGTTTTGATAATGGGGAGCAATGAAGGGTTACAAGTTTTTTTCCACTCGAATTCAAGTCCTTTCACGATCATGGTCGTCAGAAAATTTCACTTGAGGAAAAAAGCTTACAGTAGATGTATGATACTGAAAAGGCATGACAATGTTTTTATGACTATCGTAACTTTTGACTTCGTTAGAGATCCAAACGAAATGTATTCAGAATTCTAGAACTCCTTATTTATAGGAAGATGCACTCACTTTGCAAATTTTTTTGGTTGAATTTATATTCCACACGACATCTTCATGTTCTGTTTCCATTTCTGCAATATAATTTCATTTGATGAAGAATTCGAATAAATTCGAACGATTGTTAGTCAAAATCAACTAACTTCCATTCAATCATTTTTCTCAACATGGCAATTCTTCATGTACTGTCAGTTATCGTTTTCAATTGTTTTTATGGTTATACCCAACTGTCACTGCTTGTCACAGTGTTCGTACTTTATATTATGCAGAACGCAAATTCATATAGGTATTCTAGTGGTGAATACCCCTCAAACGGAAGTGAGGGTTCGACTAAGAGAATATTGAGAATTCATTCTTTATTTGATAAAGATATCAATTCTTTCTCGGTATATTCAACAGAAAACATCTACTTTTCTAGCTATATGCCACGTCAAACATTGAATTACTTCAATTGAACACACAATAAGAATATATCTGAGAATGTTCCTTTTCGATACTTTCATGCCAAATGAAATTTGAACGATGGAAATTTTTTATTTTTCACAGACCTCTCAATTCAGAATTTTCTTTCCACTCCCTGCTTGATTAATATCAATTTGCCATACATCTAAACAAACGAAATATGATTTTCATATGTCAAATCTGTGAGAAGATATTGCCGAAAATATTTATCATCACACTCTCCCGATGAGAATCATCCCTTGATATTAATTTCTGAAAATATTCGTTTTTGGATGCACTGTCAGCCACAGGAATGAATTGCATACCTCAATGAGCTTTTCATTTCCAGAAAATATCCAACTGCAAGAGTCACACCAGACAGATTATCGCTCTCGCAAGGAGAATCGACGGAAATTCAGTGTATCGCGAACGGAATACCGCCACCATCTGTTAAATGGACCAGGCTGGGAGGAGAACTTGGCAGGAATACAGAGCAAATCGGTTCGGTACTACGCATCAGGAATGCTAGAGTAGAAGACAGAGGTGTATATGTCTGTGTATCTACCAACATCCACGGTATTGAGCAAGCTTCCGTAGTTGTGGAGGTTACACGTAAGTATCTGTGATGATTTGATCTAGAGTTTCTTTAAGTGGGGAACGGAAATAGTTCAATATTTTTCAGTTATCCGACGAACTAATAAGGTATATTTATTGAAAATAAAATGATTACAACGGTCTGTATATACATTTCAGAAGCGATGATACATAAAGAAAATGAATGATCTGTTTGAAACAAGCAAATTTTAACAAAAAATACCAAAATAGTAGGACATTTATAATTCAAAAGAATGTTAAGTGTTCTATCAAGAAAATATGGAACAAACTTCTTGTGTATTTTAAAACAATAGATCATTAGATACTAAAGCCCTTGAGACAAAAGTAGTCATCTGACAGACTACAACTTGAATTACTTTATCTGAAAATTCATGATTCAGTGATCGAGATATTTCCAATTGTGTTCTCAGATGATGATATTCATTTAGGTACATGATTTTGACAAACCCTTTCATGGTTACAACCAAGAGCATTAATCTTGGTTTGATTATCGTACAACCGGAATCATTACTAGTGATGAACCTCAACAAGCTGATTCAAAAATAATATCTTCACTGAGTTTTGGGAAGCGAGGCAAGAAGAATATCATCGAAATCACACGCATAGTGGTGAATTTTCAACTTAGGAGCTTTCACATCTTGGAAATACAGAAATAGTCTTGACGATGCGTCAGAATTCAGACTGAAATTGACCAAAATTTCTCAAAAAATCGACTCAATTTCCACATATGAAGTAACATTTTTCATCTACAGCTAGATTTTCTTATTATCGTGGTTTGCAGTCGTCTGGAGGGGGGGAGGTACAAAGGGCCATGAAAACACCTGATAGTCTAGTGATTGAAGTAATTTTTTTGTGGTAGGTTTGGAAGCACCAAGGTTGGAAATCTACCCGGCAGATAGTCAGACAGTTGTAGTCGGGAATAGTGCGATTCTGCAATGTAGAGCAATAGCTGGTATTCCTTCTCCCAACATCACTTGGAGCAGAGCCAACAACCAACCTTTGAGTCCGAATATCGAAGAAATGTCAGGCGGCACCCTCCGGTAATTTCAATCAATCATTTTCTGAACTTACGAACTCGATTCATTGAATATCTTTTCAGATTCATGCAAATATCTCCTTACGAAGGAGGCGAATACATCTGTACGGCAATCAACGAAGCAGGAACCGCGAGTGCTAGCGCTTACATTGTAATTCACACGCCTCCAGATATCCAAGTCAACCCGCCGCAAGAAGTGATCACCAAGAGGATAGGCGATTCCTTGCGCCTGGAATGTCAAGCGACAGGTGTTCCTCAGCCGTCAGTGGTATGGACCAAGTATGCACAACAAATCAGTACCCAGTGAGTGTATTTACATTATTTCCGTCATCAGAAACAGAACAATGTCTCAACATTTTCAAATGTTTAGCTACCTGCCAGAACCTGCTCGACTTGCTGGATCCAACATAGCTTATCAAGAATTCAGTCGTCTTAACAAAGAAGATGAAGGCTATTACATTTGTACTGCTGAGAGTAGTGCAGGTGTTGTTGAAAAAAGGGTACAGCTGATCATAGATTCTTTACCGACTAGAGGTGATATTACAGGTGAGTGAAAGATTCCATGGAAGCCAACGTTGTAGAATTCTCATACTCCTTTAATCACTCCTGTACATATTTTAATTCATTGGCATTAAGATTCATGTATTTTGGTGAAAGGTATACTCTTTTTTGTTCGTTTTTCTTGTTGTTGTTTGTATATTGACTAAAACATTACCAATAAGACTGATATATATTCTAGTCTCCTAAATGATACGGTGCAATTTCAGACCAATAATATCTGCCATGAAAAATGATTCATCTGAATGCCCTGGCTGGACATACTCTTGGATCACTATGATATAGTTTTCTTGAAATATATATCCTTGCATGTCATTCGAAATTCCTTAGGACAAGCAGTGAACAAAACAAAATTTCACAGCAAGTTATCCTATGTCGCATTTATGATTTGGGGTTTGGACAAACATATTTTTTCTTATAAATTTGAACTCTTATTCAGACCTAAAAATCCATATTTAGTTTATTATACTTAAAGAAATGGAATTGTGTTTCTCGATCTAATTTTTTGCGCCGAGAGTAAATGGTTTGATGATTCAAATAGTAACATTTAGGAGATATTAATATCATTGTGAATAATAATTATTATGCATTTTTATGCGTTATAGATTTACCACACTAATCATATAATGCTTTTTGTTTCATTTTCGTCTATTAATTGGGGAAACAGAGCCACCTTCAACAGGTAAGTGAATGTTTTAACCGGATCTAATATTACCAAATCTAAAAGGTGTTGGGATACATTCAATGTTTGTAAGATACTTTGGGTTTATAATTTCATCAACATCTAATGATCTTTCTACTATGAAATCTGTTGATGTTTCATGTAGATCTTTATTCCTGAAGCATACAGTTTGTAACTGCACAATCTCTTTGTATCTGAAATTGTGGGATTGATAAAAGTGAATTATTTAGAATATCAACGAAAATGAGGGCACGCAAACGTTAGTACAAGCAAATTCTCAAATTCTTTTCGGCATCAAGCCATCATCAGGAGTAATTCTTGTCAGCAATTTCACGAAAGACTATGACATATGAAGGACATAATATCATGTACCCAGTATTGGCATATTCGAGTCTCTGAATTGAATCAACATTTATTAATAATTGAATTAGAGAACATTTGAAGCCACCATGTAGCATGAACAATCCCTTAACTTATAATTTCCACTTTGAAACTGAGTAACCATATTTTACTTGAAAAGGGTAGTTTGTGTTGGCAGCAGCCCAGCCACAACGATAAAATTCAGCGTCAGGTGTGTGTCAAATGTTTTTGTCTCTTTTCAATGTCAATTATATTTCGAAGTGCAAAAAGTTCATTTGCAAGAATTTCGAGGGCTAACTAACATTATTAATCATTGTCCACCAGATCGTGCTACTGAAACGTGACGTCAGAGATGGTTGAACTGATAAGTATATTTCTTCTTTTCGTGTCATTCCTACCATATCTTCTTCTCTCCCTCAATCTGAGCATTGGTCGTAAAGTTGCACATTGATTTTGAAAAAAAAGTCTGCAGCTTCACAAGTATTTCCGTAACCTGAGGTTATATATCTGTTCAAATATTTCACATCATTTTTTCGACAACGACGTCGCGTTTTAGTAACGCCTACTGGTGAGACTGAAAATATTAGGCCTCATCAATAAACCACCAGGTTTTGTTGAAGAAACTGAATTGTGACGTGAAACCCTTCTTAATCACCTATCTTTAGGAATCGATTAGTCCACAATGTTGAAACTCGGAGTTTAAGTGAAAAAACAGAAATTGCTACTTTATAAGGAGGTTTCCACTATGTATTCGATCCTAATAATATTGTTGCTAACTCCAAATGACTATGTAAGATATAATATAGAGTCTATATTATAGACTATAAGATAATGATGTATTGTGAATCAGGCGAAGATGCGACATCTTCTGGAAAACAGAGGCCAGGCTGGAAAGATAACGAACCTCCACGACCTGAAGCCACCACCAGAATCCCAGAATACCCCTCGCACGATCAGGAATTCACCGCAGCCGTTGGAGGAAGGGCAGAATTGAGATGTCGCATTGAAGATGGAGAAGGCAAGCGACCAAAAGAAAAACTGAACCTCCAAACTTTAATGTTCAATTTGTTTCGATAGGTTCTAACATTGAAGTGAGTTGGTCCCGAAACGACGGTTCCTCTCTACCTCCAGATGCCTACGAGAGCAACGGCATCCTATACATCGACAACGTCCAACCTTCAGCCGCTGGTGAATACCGCTGCACTGGCATTGACAATTCAGGACGTCCAGTTTTCAATTTGAACGCCTATCTGACCGTGATCTGTGAGTATCTCCTTTGGTGTTGGTGTATTTTATGAAGAGCTTGTTTCATTTGAGTTAATATCCTTTGTGCGTTACCTCAAATTGTTCTCTGTTTGTTGCATACAGCCACGGAAGATCTTTGCGAACTTCTAGGTACTGTAATTCGATCGGTTCATTCCCATTATTATTCGTTATTTTCTGTTTATTTTTGCTGAATCTTCATCACATCTCATATCGTTTTTGTGTGGTTGAGAATTTCTACTGTGTCAATATTGAGCTAAGTAACAAAACGATAACCTCCAGAAGGCAAAACCACAAGCAGGAAATTCTTCAGGAACATCTTCATCACACTAAGCAATAGAAAATCTTGGGCCATTTTTTCCGAAATAGAGGCGAAAAACATTTGAGACTGTTCATATCACTTCAGGCCTCAAGATCATAATGCCACTCATCGTGTAATGGAAGCGACTTATAAGGTTCACGAGTATCTGAAAAATTAGGCATCACTACCGTCATCTACGCTTACCTTTAAGTAACATTGATAGCCAATTTGAATTTCATTGATATGTGACTGATTATAGAAATGGCGTAGACAATTATGGCTATGTTCCGATTTTAATTGACAGTAGTGCCGCTGACACTGCTGAAATTCTGCTGTTTCAAAATAGTTCAGTATTCACAGTGAAATAACTTCAATTCGGAACGAATTCTACAGCAGTGAGCTCTGTCACTATTCAATTATATCACAATTCATTCTTTGTATTATTAAGCTTGGAATGAGACTAATAAAAAATAAGATAATTCGTACTTGGACCAGCAACTAATTATTTCAGAAGGGTTTCTATGATATTAAATCGATAACAATTCGAGCAAACCAGCTTCGAGATTTAATGAGCGAAACGTATAAATAACTTGATTTGAATAATTTTCTTTGGTAATCATGATTTATCATGATAATAGTTTTTTTCTCTCTACATGTAGGTGTACCCACCAAACACTTCACCTCCTTCTCGTCTGACCGAAGTCTCTGATGATACTTAGGCCTGTTGGGCCCTCTACCTTTGAACCTCGAATATGCCGTTATTGACTACTCTTCCGAGCCCTCTCATATAGGGTGATTCACCATAAATGCCCCCCCCCCCCTCTCAGTTATTTTTGAACCGATTTCAAAATTTGAATTGATTTTTCATAATTTTTTTTCTCGCTACATCAGAAAATACATGTTGCTGGATTGAACGATCTACAGAGCACTAGTTGATTTTTTTAAAGGGACACCCTGTATTTCATTCCACAATACATATGTTTATGTATCCCTATTATAAACAAATATGTTTCTTGGGGTAATAAAGAACAACAACTACAAGAATTCAAAAATGAATCCAACAATACAGAGTATGTTTTATCAAACAACTAGGAAGATATATCCGTTTTCTTATATATATTACGCTCAATGTGGATGGCTCAATGAGTTGGTGTGTTAGGGTTGTGTTGGTTTTTTTTCAATAGAATATCCTCTATTCTACATAAACGTCACCTACAGTGTCAATATTGAACATGCCTGTAGATTTTGTTACTCAATAATTATTGTCGGATCAAGAGTGGAAATGCCTTAGTAGTAATGACCCAAGGAGATCGATAATCCAAATAATTTTATAACAGTATATAATTATGTACACATGTTCAAGATTGACCCTGACGGTGAAGTTTATGGAGAATACAGGATATTCTATAGAGAAACAAACAACACAACCCTTACAGACCAACCCATTATATCAGAAAAACGGCTATATCTTCCAGGTTGTTTGACATAACTCCATCATATCCTGTATTGTTTGATTCATTTTTGAAATTTCTGACTGATTGTGGAGTGAAATAAAAGGTGTCCTATTTGAAAAATTGACTAGTACCCTGTAGATCGTTCATTTCGAGGACCCTGTATATTCTGATGTAGCGAAATAAGAACGAAATATCATTACAAATGATTTTTAAAATTCTGAAATCGGTTTAAAAGTAACTGAGCTAGGGGGAGGCATTTATGATGAATTACCCGATACATCAAGGTCAAACATTTTCCTTCTTCTATGAGTAATGGCGGAAAGGGGTTTGTCCAGCCCCGTGGTGTCCCCTGCACTTGGCTAAGGCTGTTTACTCTCAGATGTCGCCCTGTTTCCCAGGCAAGACCTCACTGTGCCCAACATAAGCTTGTCAGGAGTAACAATACCTTTGAAGACATCCATTTCGATGCTTGGTATTACTATCAGCAATAACCTTCCTTGGGAAAATCACGTGAGATGAATTGCTGAAAGTGCATCCCAAAAACTTGGTTTTCTGTTTCGGGCCAGGAGCTATTTCACTTCCAGTCAGCTGCTTATGATTTATAGGTCACAGATCCAACCTGTCCTGGAATATCGTTTCCATATTTGGAGTGCAGCACCCAAACATACCCTGAAACTGTTGGATTCTGTCCAAAAAAGGGCAATTCGTCTCGTGGTTGATGCCTCGCTCACAAACTCACTCACTTCTCTGGAACACCGTAGAAAAGTTGGCGATCTGGCTCTTTTTTATAGATATTTTCATGGACGATGCTCTTCTGAAATATTAACAATTATTCCTAATTTCGCAGTCCCCGCGAGATTAACCCGTCGAGTTGAGGCTTCGCGCCCCTTCGTGGTCACTTTGGAGACCTACAGAACATTTCTTACCAAATACTCGTTCATCCAACGAACAGCGGGGCTCTGGAACACATTGGCAAAGGAGGTGTTCCCCGAGGCATATAACCTTCAGAAATTTAAGAAGAAATTTCTACCTTATTTCCCTTGGTTCTCACGATGTTCTCTGAACATCACAGGATATTCCTTTTCGTGGGAATCAGAACATGAAACAAAAAGATGTCCCGTTATCGACACCATATAACCTCCAGTAGATTCAGAACTGACAATTGAATTCGGAACATAGCCCGTATCGAGTTAATCAGCTTTCGTGGATATCTTGCTCAACGGCATAGTAGAAATCCCAAATTCCAATAATCCACGAACATCTACGTCATTCCAGCGCCACCGAGAATCACCCTCATCCCGGCCAGACAAGTCGTCCATCCCGGCGAGAACGCCTACATCAACTGCAGCGCCACCGGCGAGCAACCGATCGACGTTTCGTGGTCGCCGATCGGTCGCAATTTGCCTGTCTCGGTGTACATTCGCGAAGGGTACATCCGCTTCAACAACATACAACTGCAAGATGCCGGGAGATATTTGTGCACTGCAAGGAATAGAGCGGGGACGGCCGAGGCCGTGGCGGATGTCATTGTGGAAGGTGAGGACATCTTGAAAGAATCAATAATCTCGAACTAAACTGCTCCAATTTGGGAACGAGAAACCATTGTCGTATTTCCTTACTAATTTGAAATCGGTTTTCACCCATGTTTAGCCTAATCTCTTTGACATTTTGAAAAAATAAAAAATTAGGGGTTATACCCAATAAAATGAGCAATCAGAAACTCCAAATGATATGTAGTAAAATGCTGATTATTATCATTATTCATACCGTATTATGTTTCAGAAAATTCCTCGAGGCCTGCTATAGCAGCAGAACAGAAGAGACAGATTGCCCCTATTGGTTCGAGCGTCACTCTACGTTGCAAAGCCGGCAATCCCGACGCTAGAAACTCCATCACGTGGTTCAGGGAGAATCTCCCACTACCACCGAACTCGCAAATCAATGGAGAGATCTTGTACCTCAGACAAGTGCAACCGCAAGACCAGGGGAGGTATTATTGCGAAATATCCACCAGCGGCGGGAGGCACAGCGATTACGTCGATTTTCAAGTGTCGGGTAAGTCAAAACGGCATTGAGACTTTTTCGCAGAAGAACGATAAGACTAGATGAAACATGGATATTCAATACAAACCTTAATAATAATATGCTACGTGTTGTAATCACTGTGAGAGAAAGATGATATCGTAAGTGTTAGCTATAAGCAACGCGATTCGAGCGCCACCACAAGAAATAAGCAATGAAGGTTAGTTAACATACTGACATGCAAAATAAGCACACGAGTTCAGACGGGTTTGAAGAATGAAAAACAACAATCAGTGTATGAAAATGATGATTAAAATAGTAGTATCAAAATCAAAAGGTCGTGCGGAGTTGCCTAGTTCCAATTACTTCATAGAGCTGATAACTTATATTCAATACCCCTTATCTTCATATTTCATTCAACCTACCCTAGAGTCAAGATCAAAGAACAGATATCTGATTTGGGTCAGTCATTTTCTCATAAATATAGCTATATATATTATCTCAAGATTGCCATTGAAACAGTTAATAATTCACAAAAATTTAAAAGTATCAATCCCAGCACTTTGGATGGTGTCAAAGATACGGATTGGAAAAACTATCATTTTATTCAGATATATTAATATCAATGTTAACTCCGTCCCGTGTTACTAATCTAGTCTATTCGTTCATCTGAGAGTTTTTCCACAAAGTTGCACTATTTGTTTTCAATTGTGAGTACTTTGGATTTTTCTAGCAAATTAGAACTGTTTGGGTGTATTTTTGAATAACAATGAGACAAACTGATTCTCAAATGTCGCTTTATCCCATCTAGGTCTGCTTCGAGCATTCCGGATTAGATGGTTCCTGTTTAGGAAGGCTTTTCTTTCCTCGCGAATGGAAAAAAACGCATTTTTCGTCTTGCAAAATCTATCAATTGGAATCTCATATAGCGTGATTTATCTCAACATACGGAAAATTTGGGAGTGTCGTACCTACAGAGATTCAGAGTTCACATTGATAACATGTCTTTTGAATTTTTGAGGGTATCAACCTATTGAATGTTTGTTCGTATGCGACATTTGAGAATCGACCCCCCAGGTCAGTAGTTAATGTTGCACACAATTGCATGTCTCGCAGCGGCACAACAGAAAAGCTGTCAACCGGGATGGTGGCTGTGCAACAATCGCAATTGCATCCCGCAGTCGCACCTTTGCGACCTCACTGACGATTGCGGTGACGCCAGTGACGAGATGGACTGTCAACCGAGGATACGACGGGGTTTGTTTCAATGTAGCTTGAGGTGTCCGCGAGGACGGTGGAATCACGATCCCATTCGTTTCGTACTAAATTTGGCAGTAAAACGGTTGCAACATACGCAATGGAACTCTAACACCACGGAAATGTAGTTTTATATACCTTTCTGTTATCTTAACGGAGAACAGTTCTTCAAGGAATGACATTAATGAGACAGTGGTTTGAATTCCACTTATATAAACTTCAGTTTCACTATCACCACTCGCACAAACCCTTCTAAGGCTTCCAAGGGTTATTACGGCAACCAAAGAGACGAATCAACGGAAAATGTTCCTCAGAAACCTCTGCTATCATTCCATCACTGGCATGATCGAACAACACTGTACCAAAACTTGTTCGTCTGTAGAACGGCACAGCTTTGGAATTCTTTGCCAATGAAAGTATTCCCAAGAACTTATGACTTCCAAAAGTTGAAAAAAATCAAACATCTACCTCCGCTTCCTATCCTCCCAAGGTACCCACGAAGTTCTGCAAACATCATAGGAATTTCCCTTTGTGCACTCCAAGAGAAAAAAAACTTCGAGAGCGCGCGAAAGGAAATTCCTATAATGTTCGTGAAACATCGTGCGTACCTAGGGAGGATAGGAAACGGAGGTAGATGTATGATTTTTTTCAACTTTTGGAGGTTATAAGTTCTTGGGAATAGTTCCATTGGCAGAGAATTTCAAAGCTTCGCCGTTCTATTGACGAATGGGTTTTGGTAGTGTGTTGTTCGACATTTTTCAAATTACTATTTCATAACATTACAAGGGTACTTCCAATTTTGAGATTGCGGATATTTTTCATAGTGATCTGAAATCAATATTAACGTATTAAATTTAAGATAATTGATATTTTCCTGAGAACATTTCGCAAATTTCACTTACTTATTTGTAATATAATGCATTATCCTCCTATTGCAGGAATTTCAACTCTTTTATCCACTTCGTCAAGTCTTGAAAATAGAACAATCATTGCGGTGGTGTTTGGGTTCGGTTTTTCATTGGTGATAGAACGAAAGTTCGTTTCAAAAGTCGCTTATTTTTAGTGTCTCTACAGTTTTTTTTGCAAAGTAGCATTGCCAATTTTAGAACCAAACATGGTTGTAGTGATTACACCAGATGGAGTCGTCTCAATGTAGCTTCCCTCTTAGCTGTCCTTTCTAGTAATTCGTTGTTTATCTAGCTCTTCCTGGCGCCAACTACCTACACTTGCAGTGTAGATCATTAACTGTGCTGCCTAAGAAGTTTCTGGTGGGTGTGGAATATCTTCAGCTCTGATTTGTACATTTTTTGTTTGTTTTGTTAGCGCATTTAGTTTGTACTTATACAACTACTAAAGTATTTGACACTGGCCAATTTGAAATGAAGAAAAAAAAATTATATGTTTTTATTGTATGACAACCATGCAGATACATAATCTTATTTGTGATGACTTTCATCATTCAGATCAGGTTGAAAACAATCTCTATGCCAAATTAGCTAGTGCAGAACATTTAGCAGGCGTGTTATAGAACATACATGTCCTAAAGACATTCTACATAAAAAATATGCTTCTTGTGTATTACTAATGTATCCATAGTATATGTTTCTTTCACAATAACATACGTATTCATTTCATCCTTGACCTATAGTTACCTAGAATACAATAATGAATAATAAACAAATCATCGCCTAGGTACTCTTTCCAAAAACTCGAACATTATTTTTAGGACCAGCAAGCAACCCAACTACCAGGCCTTCCAACCTGCAACCCACTCTGTACATATCACCCGCTGAATCCGAACAGTACGTCGGAAGCAACGTTGATATTACCTGTCAATCTTCGGAACGTGGCGCCATAACCGTCTGGTCCAAACTGTCGGGCTACCTGTCGGACAATGTTCAAAATGTCGGAGGAACTTTGAGAATCGTCAATTTGAAACCAGAAAATGATGGTGTCTATAGGTGCGAGGCTACAGGACGACAAGGCGTTTACCACAAAGATTACAACCTCAGAGTCATAGGTAATGAACTCAAAGTAATAAATAATGAAAATTATCATTAAAACAATAATTGAACCATTGGATTTCCATTATGCTTCCTTCACCCTTCTGCCTTTCATTGATGATTGTGTATACTTCAGATAAGTTTTTTGCAGAATATCTCGGAAGTTGCTTTGCTAGACTTATTCATATCCTCGTTAATATCTATACCTATAGAAGCCTTCCTATATATGTTAGTTACAGTATTATTCCTTTCATTTTGTACGATTATTTGAAAAATAACCTTGTGAATATACCTGACAAGTTACAGTTCAAGTTCGTTGAAAATAGTGTACTATTTCGGAACAGCAGAATTTCAGATGAGTCAGTGGAACTGCATTCTATAAAACATTTTCCCATGTTTTACTGATTTTTCTCATCCCATTCATTAGATAATATTCTTCACAGGTGAACAAGTTAGAGATGAACCACCAGTGGAAATTAAAACAGCTCCAAGGGGATCAACTGTCGTTTTAGAATGCAAAACAGATTTTGAACAACCTACAACTTATTTATGGAGCAAACAGGGCGGTCAGCTGCCCAGTTATGTTGACCTCTACAGTGTAAGTATTCACAAATTATCTGATATTTTTAGGTATCAAATAATTGAACTTATCTTCCATTTTTACATTGACAATATTTTTTTGTCACTTCGAAGTTAAACTCCAACTTCCCAGAAGTTGAAACTTGTGCGGGGTTAGGAATAGTTGTTGTTGATATATTTAAGACTGGAAACTTTGGCACAATATTCTACTACACTGTTTTATCACCCAACCAAAGCGATTTTTCAAAATCTTCAACACATGTTAGCATCTACAGGAAAAGAGAAGTTTCAATCTTCTCCTGTAGATAATTGATGACATGATATTGGTTGATTCATAATCAGTGGCAAATCCCAATTCAACTAATTTTGTTTACATTATTCAAGAATCTTCTAAAAGTGACTTCAATTTAATGTGTAAGAACAAACTTCAAATCATCCCAACAATGTGTAATATCCTGCCAAGAGTTTGTTGTTATAGAATATCATTCCACCCACTAACGAGTTATACCATGGACTTTCATACCAGTTTGATTCTGATTAATTTATCCATTATGTATACTGTTGGTTTGGGTCTGTACTGCAGTTTCAATTCAAAAATCCCTTGAACGTGACTAGAATTCAGTAACGTTGAAAAACTTCTTGAAATAACTGTTTTATATCACAGAGGCAAATCCAACTCAATGACGTCGGTAGCACCGACGCAGGCACCTACACTTGTTCGGCCAGCAGCGGCCAGCGAAACATCGACGTACCCATCATCCTCGTAGTCACCGGGATAGTTCCCTATTTCACCCAAGCACCCAACAGCTATATAACCATCTACACCTTGGGCGATTCCTACATCCAATTCAACTTCGAGATCTCCTTCAAACCCGAAAACGGCAACGGCTTGCTTCTGTACAACGGACAAAAGGGCAACGACATCTCCGGGGACTACATTTCCTTGTCGCTGGTCAACTCCATACCGGAGTTCAAATACAATCTAGGGTTCAGCACGACGACTGTCAAAGGTGAACGTCCCATTGCTAATGGAGAATGGCACACCGTGAAGATCACGAGGAACAGGAAGAAGGTGACCATGTTTGTGGACGGCGAGGGACCTATCGTCGGTCAAGCCGAAGGAAAATACATCGGCCTCGATTTGACGGAACATCTGTATTTGGGCGGTGTTCCTAATCCTAGAGGAATTTCGCCAGAGGTGTTCGGATATTCACCATATGTCGGATTTGTAGGTAAGAAATGATGAAATATTGAACATATCTATTGACGCAGGTCGTTATGGGATTATAAGTTTCGTCATATCATTTCAGTCTGGGTGCAAATGTATGTGTATTACTCTATTTATCTAATCAAATTTTTCAGTCTTCAAGCAATATTACCGTTGATAATAAGGAAACATAAACAAATCAGTATAAATAACATCGGCCCAAATTACTAATTGTTGTATCGCCTATGTTACTCTTTATTATATCATGGTCTGAAGTTGGTATAATAGTCAGCTAGTTAGAGGTTTCCGATTAGGAATACTGAGGTGTAAATGAGGACAAACATTTTCTTAGAATCCATTTTTGACCGAGTGAATTTCGCATAGACTTGCTGCTTTACATGTTTTCACATAAATCAATCTGTATCTTGAAATATTATTCAAGTAACACCATTTTAAATGAGTGTCACCGTATATATTTATTCTATATTTCAAGTAGAGCGAAACCTATTGAAAATTGAGTTAAGAGTAATCAACCATTTTCTCATTTTCCAAACAGCAAAAATGCTCGTTCACATGGTCAAACAGTTTTTGATAAGACGTAGGTAGTAGACAAAATATTTCAAGAATTAGATGGAGAAATTGGTACTTGAAGATAGCCTTCTTCAGAGGTCATCTTGGTAGTATGCATATTATTAGCACTTAACCATGCTGCGATATTAATCACCACATGTTCTTTGAAGATGACTAACTTATATGTATTTCATGCAATAAACATGACACACTCACCCATTTTATCTGAAGTCTTCAACTTATATCCTGATATCCTGAAACAAAAAATACAAGCTGTATATTAATGGAAAACCCCACTACTGTTCCATTTCAGGATGTATCAGCAGATTGAAAATTGGTCATACACACTTGGACATTCTTCGCGAATCTCTGAACAAAACCGGAGTAACAACTTGCGAAACATGCAGTGAAAACAAATGTGAGAATAAAGGAGCCTGCCAAGAAGCTCTTTCAAAAGAAGGATACACTTGCATATGTCCTGTAGGATTCAGCGGACCCACTTGCAACAAGCTCAAGGGAGAAGCTTGTTCACCATGTGAGTAATATCTGTCATCTATTTATTTTATAATAAAGGTGATTATGAAGTCACGAGTGCTATCACCTGTCAAGCGTTGTCGTTCGAATTTCACAATACCCTGTATAGTGCAATAACCAAAAAGCTGGAAGAATAATGTGTATACCATACCATTGCCGCGACCTCAAGACTATCTTGCCTCTGCCGCAAACGGCCTCGGCAATAACTCTTCTTTAGGTACGCTAAAGTGGTATTTTGTCGGCTAGATATGCAAATAACTATTAAAACGTATAAATTTCACTATTATGTTTGATTCGTTGAGCGCCACGTATTCACTCAATTTCAAATTTTATGCAGATGCATGTGGAGTAGGAAGGTGCATCGACTCTGAAAACGGTTTCGACTGCCAGTGCCCCCTGGGCCGTTCGGGTCGCAGATGCGAAAGGGAAATCACAGTCAACGAGCCTGCCTTCCACGACGACGCCTACATTGCATACCCGACACCGAAAACGACCAGACGATTGAAGATAAACCTGAAAATGAAACCGAACACCGTAGAAGACGGCGTTTTGTTGTACTGCAGTGAAACCGAGGAAGGACACGGAGACTTCATAAGTTTGACGTTGCGCGATAAACATTTAGAATTCAGATTCGACGCTGGAAATGGTAAGATATCCAGACTAAATATAACAATAGATAGATAGCGCGATCGATTCATAATAGTTATTTATGTATCAAGGGCGTGAAGTAGGCGTTTATGGCCTGCGACGTGGAAAATTACCCGATGGCGTTAGCCGAGGGCCATTACACGCCGAAGGCTATATACGCATTTTACGCACGTGATACATACAAAATTTTATGCACTAGTGGTTTATTTTCCGAGTCACAAGTAATGACTAGATTTCAACAAACTATAATTCATACGTTACTCATAAACTTAGTTTTCAAAGGAAGCGCAATGTTTATGTGTATAATCTACATATTGGAATTCACATAGGAATATCGCAATTATCGTAAGAGTAAAACTCTTTGTTCACTAACAGAGATAAATTCCTTGAGATGTAACAATATGTATACCCAGTATATAGCTACCTAAATTTGACGTTGTTAATCTGATGGTTAATGTCTAGCAATACATCCAAAAAACTAGCTGAATCTCTTGGCTAAAAACTTCAGACAGCCAGAAAGTAACTATTCAAAGAAGGAAGTTATAGCGAAGATGGAATCGGATGAACAATTAACATGTATCATAATCTTAACGATGGAATCAGCTGAGAGTTCAAATATAGGATTTCCACAAATGGATGTGTGGAAATAGGGACTTGAGAACAGTGGGCGATGAGCCCGCAAATCTGGGCGATAAAGTGCACTTTACCGCCCGCTAGTGCATAAATCATTAAAAAGTATATGCCAACAATCCTAAATGACAACTTTTCATTATATATTTGACACTTGAACCATATTTATTCACGAAAAATGGTCTACTTCAGATTATAATAAAAAATATTAGTAACTGAAACACCGAAAACTGATGACACACAAAAGCCGGAAAACAAAAAATAACAACAACAAAGACAAATCACATATCGATTACAACATATTGGACTATGGTTATTGAAACACTATTCAAATTTTAACAATTTATATTCACGATGTGTGCTCTACAAAAGATAAACGATTAATAATCCATATTCTCCAACTGTCCTCTTATTCATCATGTAACGTAACCATCTGAGTCATGTGTTACTAATAGAATCAGAAGGTATCGATGTATAGGGTGGTGCGGTCTAATATTCAGTTTCTAACAAACATTTCTATCGACATACAGGGTGGTATATATTTTTTTCGACTCTCTTCTTTTGATATTTTGTTTGGTTTGCAAGTAATTTGATGAAATTCAATTTGATGTATTTTTTATTGTACAACCAACTTTTGACAGGAATCGCTTAAAATTATTGTATGTATGAAATGCATATTGATGAAACAGAAATATTATTACCAATATTGTGAAGGAATCCAGGACAAACATTGAAAATTATTGGTATGACCCTAAGAAAAATGAAGACAAAACCTGCTGTAATTTAGATATTATGAGTACCTATTGAAAGAACATTTCGAATTATTGTATCAGATTGAATTCAATCGAATAGTTTAAGTCAGGTCAGTGGCAAACTAGAAACCATTCTATCACTCAACAATACTTGAAATATGTAACACCCTGTTTGTCGAGCTATTCAGGAGTTTTCTAATCCCCTTATTGTACCTACAAAATCTCAGTTATATCTCAGCTATATCTCCCAAGTACAGTCGCATTCAAAGAAAAGCGTACGAGTTTATTACAGAGAGAAATCAACGTCATCCTATTCTGCATAAAACGGGCTATCGGGCATGATTGTTCACCAAATGTTGACAGTAAAGTTTTCATAGGTCCTCGAAAACACAGAGCATTGGCTGAGCCAGTTTTACACAACTAGAACTAGGATCCCGAAATTCTCTATTTTTAATACTTGTACGCTTTTTTATTGAATACGACTGTATATTAAAATTTTGTTGAAAAATGAAAACTCCAACCTTCTCTTAATAATAAAATGTTTCAACATGTTTCATGATATGGATAATATTCATTCATATTCATTTTCGAAAGTTGAAATATTTACTTTGTTACTGATCGCTTCATCGAGTCGAAAACGTACCTACTGTAATTTTTGAAATTTTAGGTGTCACCATTATCAGACATGAAGATGAAATCAGACCAGGCCAATGGCACATTTTGTCTGCTATCAGGACCTTGAGTGATGGAAAGCTGATAATAGACGGATCTGAACCGGCGGTTGGACGGTTGGCCGGCAATTCCAAGACCCTCAACCTGCAGACCCCTCTGTACATTGGAGGTTATGACAAGTATCATGTCAGAATCAATGATGGCGTTCAAGTGTACTCCGGATTCAATGGATGCATATCTGATGTAAGTAAAACTGGTTGGTATTCATCATTGTCATGTTAAATGAAAACCTAGTTGTTTGTTCATTGACTCAAAATTTGTCTGCCTGTCAATGGCGCTGAATTACTGAATACATCAATCAATCAATCAATCACAAATATACTTTATTGTCAAAGAAACACTTTCTTGTTGACAAAGCATGATAAATAAATAAATACAATAAATGAAGTGAAATGAAAAATTTCACAGTCAAGGTTGAGGTTGAACTCGTTGGAATACAGATACATAAAAAATTTAATGGAATACATGCACTCATATTGAAATATATCTCTGTACAAGAATACAAAAGTTTGTAGATATGGACGTACAGCATAACTTAACATACTTATAACAGAACATAACATACATAACATAACTGTAAAAATATCAGCTGGAGTTAATTATCCCTCGAGGTTATCGTCAAAAAAATCTTGTATAGAATAATAGGTCTTTTCAACAAGCAACCTATTCACAGCCTTTCTGAATGCCTTTTGTTCCTCAATTTGTTTGATATGTATCGGCGAGTGATTGAACATTTTGATTCCATCAAAAATTATCGAATCCTTAACTACCGAACTATTTGGAATTGGAATGTTCATTGTTTTTGTGTTCATGTTATCCTATCGATACTCTGAATAGCTATCGTCTATAAACGATGTTCTGATGACAGCTTGTCGTTCATTACCGACTGTCAAATCGGTAGTGAATTCGATTCAAGAAAATTATCGATATTTAACGATATGTCATTCACTAACGACACGTAACGATAACGTTATGAAATACTGAATAGGCCTGTAAGCTTCCTGGGCGAAACTCTACTCCTCTCTGCTTGGAAATGAACCCCGTCAAAACTTGCACTCAACAAATAAACCCTACTTTCTCTTCCAGATCAACATCTCCGGCATAGACATCAACATCATCCAAAACGTGACAGACTCCTCGAACGTCGAGGACTGCGCCGATGCGGACGTCGACAACAACGTCTACCCCGACCGCGGGCCGCCCCACGGCAGACGGATCAGCTGCTCGGACAATCCGTGCAGCAACGGCGGGCAGTGCTACCCGCTGTCGCCCACCGAGTACCGGTGCTCCTGCCCGTCCGGATTCACCGGCGCCAGTTGCGAGAGTGTCGCGGACGCGTGCGAGGGGCGGCCATGTCGGAACGGCGGGGCGTGCAGGGCGGACGGTGCGGAGCGGTATACTTGTGACTGCCCCAAGGGGTTCACCGGGCCCAGCTGTGATCAAGGTGAGCGCAAAAATGATGTCGGTTTCCTTGCTCAACTAAAGTGCTCAAAGAAACAAGTAGACCATTGAAATATTTGACAATTCTCAAACTGCCATATCTTTTTAGAAAATGAATGGATTTTCATTCTAAATGCAGTGCTTGGAAGATGCGATCTTTCTATTCAAGATTCCTCGTTCAAAACTCGTCGGGGGTTTTTCTGTCATTATACACCAAGTGTTCGAAAAAAGTATTACAAAAATGAAAAAATTCAAACGATTCCAGTATTCCAGGGAATTCTTTTTATTTTTCTATTAAGCGTTTTTTTTTTCGAACGTTCAAGCCAATATCTCGAAACGGTTTTGTAATTTTCCATATTCCTCATACAGGATGTTGAAAATCGATGATTCTTCATTTTTAGGTTTTTATCGCATCATTTCCGATTTTAAAATTATGCAAGCCACATTCAACGTATTTTGCCACTCTATACGATGGAACACATCCTAGAAAATGGATTCATATTGCGTTGAAATCATCGACAACTTCAACAGAAGAAGAATTAATTTTTTTTTAGAAATGTTCAGAATTTGGTGAAATCGTCTGTTCAGTTTGGTGCTGCCATAACCATATGCTATGCTAAACACAAATCCTTCATTTGGATCGATTGCTCTGCTCAGTATGTCGAATTGATTTCGTGATTTTTCAGATAAGGCAATCCAAGGGGGCACAAGGAGGCCCTTCTGGATTTTTCTGACCAATTCATTCAATAACGATGCTACAATGATTTCGAGATATTCCTGAGCTGACATGAAGTCAATAAACCTATTTCAAGGTTTTTCATCGTGTGATCGAAAAGCAATCGAAAAAGTCTTTTTTATAGTAATTAACACTCATTTACGCAATTAATAGCACTGCAACACCCCATTTAATGCCTCCTGTCGAACCGATGATGACAGTTGTCGAAGGCACTTTTTTCAATTTCCAGATTTCTTGAAATTTTCACTATAGTAAATTTTCAAAATGCATTCCTCCTTGTTCAAGACACATATTATTTAATTTATGTTCCTATTTGTGGATACTTTGTAATTGAGATAATTTATAGTAAGAACATGTTATTTTTTACAGCCTACGAATTAGGCAGCGATGCTCATTTTGATGGCAACGGTTACTTGGAGTTCGACAGAAACCTTCTTCCGCATACTGTAGGAGAAGAAGAGGTAATCGCTCTGGAATTTTCAACAAATACCTCGGATGGGTTGATCTTCTGGCACGGACAGAAACCGAATGAAGATGGACTTGGCAAGGATTATATTTCTCTAGCAAGTAAGTATACACATGTGTAATTTGAAGGATATAAGGAATATCTAAAATTGTTGAGTTTTTCGTGAAGCATATACGGCCCAGTATGAGAATCCCAGGAGAGGGGCTCAGTGAACAGGTATAGATGAGCTAACCAATGAATGAATAAATGAAGGATAGGAAAGAAATTAACAGAAAAACAGATGAAAGCATATGAAGTATCAAGACTGTGAGGACGGTTTGCTTAAGCAACTTTTTGTTCGACCGATATCATGTTGAAGAATGAGTATAGATCAATATTCTTCAATTAGGTAGTAATCAATAAACACAACTTATTGCTGTTGAAATGGAAACGATACATTATCAAAAATAGTCGGGGCATACTAAAATAGCATATTATACACCTAATGTGAGAAATGAGCAAGCTTATTTTCATATCCTGAGGGCCAAAGAAAATAATGTGAAAGAAACGCAACGCCAATCCAGGTGTCAAATCATTGTCGTTATAAATAAAAACTTAGTAGGCGAGAGGTATAATATGGTGTGTTCAGTGGAAAAAAGCAAAAATCGCCCTTATTGACAACGTTTTCAGTAAGCTAGTGACCTCTATTTCGTCATTCATTTATTTTCCTTACCCTAGGAATTTTTCGTATTCCTGTCAAGATTTTCTTTCCTGTCAAGTTTGTAATCAAACATTGCTAATTTTGAAAAGTTAAATCACTTACACAAATTAGGAAAGCAGGATTCATAAAGAAGGAATTATTGTTTATACACTGATTTTATTGATGTTATATGAATTTGAGTAGAAACTGAAAACTCATTATTAGAATCAGCCCAATATCGATAGTTATGGCGATTAACTATACCATTAAAAAAAACTAACATTCATCACTAAAACAAATGTTGAACACTGAGGATTTGCAATCGTCTGCTCACTTAGTACTTCACAGAATTGTAAACGCCGATCAAAATTATCTTCATTCAGTTCTTGTCTTAATTTAATTTTGTTAGGATGGGATTCATGAAGTTTTAAAATATGCAGAATGCTAGTTCTTGAGATACTGGAAACAGTTGCTAGCTGTCTTGTACTCAGTATGGTCAACCTCAACATGGCCCAAAATTGTCACTGTTGTCGCCTCATTTCTTACTGGCGGTTCAATTTGCCGTTTTTTATGTGCTACCGATCCCGTTTCTCGGAATTTTGATACTAATTCAGACACATACTGCCGCGACACAGTCCTACCATATTGTTGATTGAATCGTTCAGCAGCCCTTTTCGCACATCTATTGTTTACATAATTCAGTTCAATCAACCCAACCCTCTCTGCCACTGTATACACCATTGCTTCGTTTTAATTCAGACGTACTATACCACATACGAATGAAAGTCACTTGTGGTACACACGTGAAAAACAAAAACTGCATGATCTATCTGTTTGTTCTATTTTATTACAATATTTTCATGGGTACCGCGAAAAAAACTGAGCAAAAACTTTCACAGAGTATCGTTGCAAACAAATGATAGATTGCTAAAACTTACAAATGAGTGTTTCAGAGACGTACAAGCAAGCTCTCAACTATCATACAGGTTTATTCCTGAATTTATTTTTGGCCAAACGGTTCATCCTAACTTGAAAATCGAGACGCCATTGGATAGAGAACTCAACGGACGTTCAGAAGATGTGCCACTCCACCATTATTCCCTATTCAAATTTTAGGGGTTGTTCACCTCACAGCTCGAGTGTTGCAGTGACAGTAGTGCATGTAGGAGAAGAAAATGTCCCCTTCGAAGCTAAAATCGACCTGTCCGAGGGTTTTTCCACATCTGCGATATTATCACCCAAAACCCCGATGTCAAGTATTCGATGGGCCACCCTGTATAAACATCAACAACGACGCCAAGTTGTCTTCTTGTTCTATTTTTCCATTAGTTTTTATTCGTTAGCTATGCGCTAGTTATATTCTTCATCATCAGCTAAATTCAGACTAGATTCAGAATGTACGTCACAGTTTGACGCCCCAAAAATTGATAATTGCTTCATTTTGAAAATAAAAACGACTTGGACTTTATCGATCGCCATTCTGTATAGTGAGAATGAAATTGGGCGAGTTCCGAACTCATTCTATGAAAATTCGTAAGGAAGGAAACTTCCCCATTGCATATGCATTTTAACGATAAGTACACGTACTAAATATTGACAGTAACTTCTCATTAGATACATTCCTTGAATAATGGTGAATTCTAATTCACTTATAAAATATTAGTAATGGAAAAAGAAAGCAAAAAGTAACTGAATATATCAAATTCTCTATACTATACCGTACCACCATTTCAGTGGAGAACGGCTACCTGGAGTACAGCTTCGACCTGGGCGCCGGACCTGCCATCATCCGCCACCACCGCCGACTAGACGACGGCGACAGGCACAGCGTCATCCTCAAACGCCTCGGGCGCCACGGCTCCATCGACGTGGACCACGCGGGCGGCGAGGAGGGCGACGCGGAATTGGGCAGCCGCGACGACGACGCCGAGATGACGTGCGCAGGCGACGTGTACCTGGGCGGGGCGCCCGACGTCGCTAGGATCACGGGCAGCCGGTTCTCCGGCGGGTTCGTGGGCTGCGTGCACGGGTTTGAGATGCGCGACTCGCAGCGGTTGGACTTGGGCGGCCGGGCGGTCGGCGGATGGAACGTCAAGCCTTGTTCGAGGTAAAGAGTGATTGTTGTCGTTCGATTTGGAATATTATCAAATCGTAGATTTGCTAGTCTTATTTTGTGGTATACAGAGTAATGCAAATGGTTAATGGGAAATTCATCCAATAAGAGTTCAATTCTATCTCTCAGGAGATTTCTATATTTTCCTCCGTTCAGGCGATGTTGAAGAAGAAATGGACCCAGAATTCGACCATTGAAGATGCCACACCAGACGTTAACCGAGAATCTTATTTGATGGCATGATTCTTTCTTGAGCTTTGGGTTTTTTGTGGACCAAAAATGTTCATTGTGACGGTTAAAGAGGCCATTATTTGTAAATAGGCAGTCAACAGACCATAACATTTTCAACAGATGATCTATATCATCATTCATCCTATTCTGTAGCCATTCACAAGAGAAGGTTCGTCTGGCAGAATCCTCCCGATTGATTCCTTGAGCTACATGGTGCTGATAGGGATGGTATTTTTGTTTCTTGAGTATTCTACTAGCTGTAGATTGATTGATATTACAACAATCATCTAGCAATATGAACTGGTAAATCTGACAGCAGCCTCCTTGACTCTGATAATATGTTTTCTACAATAAAATCGGAATTACACATCAGCTCGCGAATGTTATTTGCAAATAGACCTACGGAGACTTCTGTCTATTGTATCATTCTATTATGACACGAATACAATGATTTTTCTAGCACCATCGATGCTACATCATAGATTTCACTTGATATTTTCGATTTTTCGCTTCTACACTTCATTAAGGCACAACATTTATTTTATGAGAAGTCGACGTTTATTTGTTATTTCTCTAATTTCAGCTGATCTGTTCATAAATTGAGAGAACTTATTCATGAAATCGATACAGATAGAAAGCCATCACTTCGAGATAACAAACAATCGTAAAATTCAGTCATGAATAGTGTGATTTGAACTTGGAATACCGTATGTTGACGTACAATGATTATATATCATTCCTGATATCATTTTTAATCTACTTGTACATGTTTACAGAATATTTTTTTCCAATATTGATATCATTATACCTCTCAACTGCTTTCTAAATGAATTATTGAAGTTATATTCCCTCCTAGATTAGCTGATATCAAGAACATTACACGGTTGCGCGTTATCGAAGTCTGCTAGCGAAAAAATTTCGAAACCGTTTCGGTGAAACACATAAAGCAACCAAGTAATATGCCCTAGGTAGATCTGAAAACACAAACTTCATTGGCAGAGCAAGTACACCATCTCATTTTCAAACGATTATTACACAACATGGATTCAAACCGTTCCAGAATATTTGATATCAAATTTGGGTGAGATATTCAGGTGGACCACATTCGTCATGTAGTTCATACAGTAGGTGCCTTTCCTTGTTGTTGCCCTACTAGTGGCAATAGTTGCGACGTCTAATAAAACAACTGTGAGGAATCAGAGAATTCAGCTAATAGCTAGGATGTATATTGCTCGAACTTCTCTCCTAGCGAGTTTGCCAACTATTAAATTTCCAAGTCGTGGAAACCATCCATTTTCTCAAAGTGGTCCAGAATTTTTTAGAGGAAAAATACAAAAAACCTAAAGTCGGTCGACCACAACCAAATTTATTACATAGGACGTGTGTAACTAGTTTCGGCACTCGGCATCAGACACATAATGTAAAGCTCCTGTAAGGAACAACGATAAAAAATACAAAAGCTAATGATGAGAGGAATCTTACCATGTGCAGGAATAATTATTAGGTTAAACCATTGATACGGGGGTTGTGAGCCGAAAAAAAGCAGTCCTAATTGTACAAAACTAATTTAGAGCGACTGAACAACCGGAAATAGCTATTAACAAAACAAAATTTTCCACTTAAAAATTCATTGAGATCATCGTATGTAGGCTGGCGGCCATAAAACAAAGCAAAATCGAGCACCAGAGGGAGATACACATGACAGATAATTGACAGATTGACATTTTTTAAATTGAAATCAGACATACATAGACATTCTGAATCAAATAGGCAACTATTTAGGTTTAACAGGGTTCAACTAAAAAGAGGAAATAATATTTAATTTCCCTTCACGTCGGAACAGAATGTAATTCTGTTGGCTAGCTCGTTCAATTCTTCCTGGCATACCCGAACACTTTTGGAGCTGATTACAATAACTCAGCTCTTTGATGACTGCTTGACTATCGGACATTATGATGACATCGCGTCTTTCACAGATGTTCTCTAAATTGACTGGTCACATTTCTCATTCAGAAAATGCTTGAAAATTTGCCATGCCTTTCAAAGTGTTTGATCTGAGCTTCGTAGACTCCTAGTCAGTGTACCACTTATCACTTATTTCTTGTGCTGGTACCCATAAAAAATTAGAGTAAATGAATTGAAATTGAGTGACGCCAGAAAATTGTAGCATTCACGAGCAGTTCACTACGTAGTTCCAACGTATCTGAACTAATAGATTGTAGATTTGCTGTATAGCAGAATTCTAGTAGATTTCAGACTACTTTAGTCACGTTCGGTATTTACATCGCAGATTAGAGCAGATTCTAGTCACGTGGTCACAGATAGATCGGAGCAATCGGCAATAAACCAACGAAGTGGACATTTTGTTGACAGTGTGACGTAACCTAACCTAACCTCATTTATTTATTTCATTTATTTCCATTTCAATATGAGTATACCATAAATATTGTTCTTCTTTTTCTCTTTCCAAAAGAATCGCAGCCAGAGTCAAATATATAAGAAAAAATATTGAAAAAATAATTTTTAATTTATCATCTAAACACATTGATTAAATGTGTTCACTTACTATTATTTGTGACAATTTCTTCATAATTCTCATCTGACACCATAAAGGTATGTGTTTTGTATTGCTCAGAATAAGAAAGTTGTATTTCTTTCATTATGAAAACGTTATTTTGAAAATACGAATACGAGCACAACGGCCAGTCATACATAAACATTTGAACATAGCCTCACGAATTCCGATCAATCGCTTTGCTCGGTCAATTGTCAGATCGCTCCGATTTTAATTGCCGAACGGATGAGATCTACTTCCCCTACATCACGATGTCATAAACTAACGATTCAGATTCATCGGAGCAGTGTGATGTAAATACCGAACGCGACTTTTGAGAGCACTTGAAAAACTTTTTTAATGAATTATTTCTCTGTATTTCATGCATCAGACTGCAATGGATTCCGTCCTCACTCATCTTCGCTGACAGCGATCAGTTCGATGAGATATTAGAACCCCCTCCTGTTAACATAATCCACCCCAAACCTTCCAGTAATGCTCGAAGCATACATAACCTACATATTTATTGCATTTTTTTCGTTAATAGCATACGCATAAGCCTGTCCATGTATGTTTGACCTTTGAATAGCTTCATTTTTAGAATCTGAAAAATGCAATAAATTGTTTTGTGCTAGACAATAGGTACGTTCTGTTATATCGTATCATATCAATATTTTCGTTAATTCTGTTGGGAGTTTGTATGTTGATGAAAGGAACATTGTGACCACGACTTGTATACTGTTAGTTAATTTAATGATGATGTGTAAGAACTTCAGCTGAAGCGCGAGCGAAAATTCGAATTTATTTGCTTCCAAAAAGAGAAAATTCAAAACGATTAGCTGAACTGCACATGGTCTAGGGTTGTATTCATTTGTGATAATCAGTATTGTCTGTACATAAGATTGATAAGCTAATGTTGAATATTTTATTACCTTTATAAGATGATATAGACTGATGCTCTTTTACTGATTAAATGCACTGTCCATGGATATCGGATGAGACAGGTAAGAAACCATGTTTCAAAATCATCCCAAGTTTGGTGTATCCATTGCCTACAGTTTTTTCAAATGCAAATAAAACTGCATTAAAATTCATTATCATTTTTTGTGGATATTTTATATATTCTCAAGAATTCACCTTGTACGTATTGCAGAAATAACTCCATCTATGTATGAAGAGATTTTGAAATTTTTTCAATCTGATGCAGAATTATCCAATCAAATTTCATAACCAAGAAGTGATGAATAATCAACAGTTATATATATATATTCTGCATTTTTTTGAGTTTTTCGAGCTAATGTTGAAATATTCGAGATATTATATAACTTCTTTATGAATTTTTTTAGCTATTAGTATCATTATAACAGTTTTATTAATCTTTTCTCTTTCTATTTCTTTCAGATCCTCGGACTTGAACAACTTCATATCGAATGATGATCTGATCAATTGAGAATATGAAATTTAGTCAAAAACGATTTCAGTCAAATTTAATTTTATAAACACATAATTTCGCCCATTCAAGTGTTCAATTCATTTGTGTTCATTTTTTTCTATTCGTTCAACGAATTGAATTTATAATTCCGAGATTTGCTGTATTTCATCCTCTCTGCTTGTTCTGTTTACGTTATGAGCTTTAATTCGCTTGAAATACAGCTTTGTATTTTAATTTGAACTACCTTTAAACTGCCATTTCTTCTGGTCGTTTAGTTTTTTTATAGTATTTTTATAAAATATTTTCATATGATAGTAATGAAATTTCGTGCCATTTAACTAATAGATTAAGCAAACTGTCATTTTGAATCAGATCCAAGTTCATTTATGATTTTTGGAATATTTATATAGCTTAATTTCAATGGTGCTACTGGTCGTACTTGTAATATGTTCTGATAATCCCAGTTTGTAAAATATTAGGTTCAGTTTTTTTTTTTTAAAGTGCATCGGATTATGATTTCCCCATTTTACAAAAATATGTATACAATGTGATTTCAAGAAACGAAACTAAAACGTATCAGCAATGGTGATTAACAATACATTATAAGTCTAGGCTAAAACATATTTTATAATTGCTTATTGTTTCTCTCTAGATTAACATTGTCGAAATATCAAAAGCTGTTTCAAGGAAAAGTCTAAATTTTCAATGTTATGAACATCAGAATTGACGATACTCCATAAAAGGCATTCTAATTTGAAACATGTATATACGAAATGCCTTAAAATCTGATTTTTGTATTGAAAATATGTCAAAGTGCATTTTCAATAACTTAAGACAATAAATATGATAAATGTACTTACCTAGTCGATATTTTCTTCCTCCTTTCATGCCCCTTTGTATCCCACCTATCTGAAATAAAAAAATTAGAATGATGTCGTAGGCGTATTGAGGGATTAATTTTTGAGATCATGAAATTTATACAAAAAAATAAAGGTAGTTGAGAATAGTTATCAATGTACCAAGGACGAAACACTGTCTATTGAAGTCGAGTCTGCACATTGACATCCGAGGCTAGCAATTAGGTGAGACAATAGACAGTTGTTCGCCGAGGTGCATAGTAAATATTTTCGTCGAACACTTATATTATTATATATGTGAAATATATCCTTATTCCATCAGTAAATACCTTGTCAAAAATTCAATACATTTCGATACACCTGTTTAAGATCTATTTTATGCCATACGAATTCCAAGAAACGATAATTGGATAAACCTATGACGTCAAAACATTATGTACATTTAGTAAGCAGAGAAATGACCCAGTTCCAACATAATAGAAAAAAAACAAACATTCTCATACGAAAATAATCACATTTCTAATTCTCAATTCAAAAATACTCACAAATATCACAAAATACATCTACCTGAGTACTACATGAGTACAAAAATACAAAATAAATAAAAAAATTAAGCGTAAGAAACCATTTGTTATATCAGAGGTATACAGGGTGTTTCAAAAAAAGCTGACCCCCTTAGGTCTATGAGAGTCAGGTATGAAAACAAATGCATGCGATGTGTCAGATTTCAAGAAATATCCACACAAAATTTCATCACAATGTTGCCAGTAGTTTCGACATAATCGTGAGAAATGTGTAAAAAAATAATTTTTTCAACACCATGTATCATGAAAACGGATGCCGTTACGACATTTTTTCACTGAGCAAACCCTACTTATTTTGCAGTGTTCTACCTACCCTAGCAAGGGGGTCAGCTTTTCTTGAAACACCCTGTATAAAAAATTGAATTTGATCTGAAGCAGATGAAGAATTTTCCTTATTTGGTTTGTACATATCATTATAGTACTTATGTGTACATTCATTGCTTATTTGATAAAATTAATTCAAACAGAGCGTGCCGAAATACCATGCAATTTATACGTATATGTGATAAATTGCAACCCTGCAGCTGGCGAAAGTTGGTATCTGCGGGCGAAAAGGACTTGCCTTAGGAAATTAGAACGTAAAATGTGATTTTTTGGTAGAGGTCGACGAAAATAGATATTGATGTACCAAGGACAAAAAACTGTCTATTATAGTCTAGTCTGCAAATTAATAGCCGAGGCAATAGACAGTTTTTCGCCGAGGTGCATATTAAATGTTTTCGTGGACCTCAAACACGTGAAATCTATCGAATTTCGTGAATAATTAATTTGACAACAGCAAATGACAGTCCGCGCCGACCTTGGTTTGCCAGTTCGACTTTTATTTCATCAGTATATATTTAATACAGGGTATAAATTTGAAAACTTCCAATGCGAATATCTCGCGAAAGAAAAAAGTTGAAAAAACGCCGTTTGGCAGAAATGCTAAAGAGTTTTAAGGGGAACTAGAACCACCATATTTCGGTCAAGGAATGAGTCACCCCGTCGGTGCGACACACCCCAACTTTGAAATGTCAAATGGCACTACCTTTTTGTGATGCCTCAAATGAACAGTCTCAGTCAGTAGTATTCACCTGTACAAGACTTTTTTTTCCACCCACTACAGGGTGTACGAAAAATATAAAGTCGAATAAAATAAAATGAATTGTGTTAAAAGGATATTTTATTTGATCAGATGTTCAAAATGCATTCCATTCTGTTGTAAGCAATAGTATGATCGATGTTCAAATGCCATTCTAACATTCTGGAACACATCTCTTGGAATATATCGGCATTCTGCATTTTATTTTATTCGACTTCATGTTTTCCGTTCACCCTGTAGTGGGTGGAAAAAAAGTCTTGTACAGGTGAATACTACTGACTGAGACTGTTCATTTGAGGTATCACAAAAGAGGTAGTGCCATTTGACATTTCAAAGATGGAGTGTGTCTCGCCGACGGGGTGACTCATCCCTTTACTGAAGTATGGTGGTTCTAGTTCCCCCTAGCTCTGTAGCATTTGTGCCAAACGGCGTTTTCCTAACTGTTTTATTTAGCGAGATATTCGCATTGAAAGTTTTCAAATTTAGACCCTCGAATTAATGTTTTTCGTACACCCTGTAGTGGGTGGAAAAAAAGTCTTGTACAGGTGAATACTACTGACTGAGACCGTTCATTTGAGGTATCACAAAAGAGGTAGTGCCATTTGACATTTCAAAGTTGGGGTGTGTTGCGCTGACAGGGTGACTCATCCCTTCACTGAAATATGGTGGTTCTAGTTCCCCTTAACTCTTTAGCGTTTTTGCCAAGCGGCGTTTTTCTAACTTTTTTATTTCGCGAGATATTCGCATTGAAAGTTTTCAAATTTACACCCTGTATAGTAGAAAGAAGGGAGGTAGTTGATGACACGTTAGAGATAAAACTAGCTTGCTAGTGGGGATTGCAGCAAGGTAAAGGTAGTACAGTTTGTCCGAGCTTACGGAAATGTAGAGTATATTTCCATCTTCAGGGAGACTACAAATAGAATTTGATATGTGTACAGGGTGATTCACCATAAATGTCCCCCCTCTAGCTCAGTTATTTTTAAAACGATTTCAAAATTTGAGATATCATCTTGAATGATTTTCGATAAAGTTTTTTTCCGCTACATCAGAAAATACAGGGTGCTCGGAACAAACGATCTACAGGGTACTATTTGATTTTTTTAAATGGAACACTCTATTTTTCATTGAATTTTTAGATTCTCCCTGAAGAGCTGATTTAATTAATGTATCACACTTGGGGTCTAGCAAGAATGATTACAGAGATATAGGGTGTTCAAAATGGAGATTTTTCAACTTTAGGATGTTTTTGACACGAAATTATTCATCATCGGTCAAAACGGCTTCCATGTCCACGTCTCAACTTTCGATTTACTTTCTACTGACATTTAATAATTGGAACAGATACAGGGTGATCAAAATTCTGAATCTTGAACCACCCTGTAAATGTTCCAATTAAATGTCAGTAGACAGTAAATCAAAAGTTAAGATGGAAACATAGAAGCCATTTCGACCAATAATGAGTAGTTTCGAGACAAAAAAATCCTAAACTAGAAAAATCTCGATTTTGAACACCCTATATATCTGTAATCATTCCCGCTAGACCCCACGTGTGATGCATTGATGAAATCAGCTCTTCAGCAAGAATCTAAAAATAAAATGAAATACAGGGTGTTCCATTTGAAAAAATCAAGTAGTACTTTGTAGATCATTTGTTCCGATCACCCTGTATTTTCTGATGCAACCGGAAAAATAATTCTGAAGAATCATTTCGAATAATTTCTCAAATTTTTGAATCGGTTCAAAAATAAGTGAGCTAGAGGGGGGACATTTATGGTGAATCACCCTGTACATTGACAATAATATTGAGGAATGATCGAATGGTACTTACGTACACTATTTGAGGATGATTACACCGGTGTTGAGAGAATTTGAAAGTCGATGCAACATTTTTGGACATAACAGTCTCTTCTCCTCGCGTCTGCTCAAGGAAAAATTATAGGTTATATAGACGTGGGGAAGAAGAAGAGAAGAACTTATCGCAGCGACGTCTCATGGATGAAACTTGAAAATAGCATCCTCCTGACATTGCAACGACGTCTATGCGACATTGAATGTGATATCGCAGGTCACAATTGTTACATCGCTGCGATATCTCTGTGATGAAACTGTATTTGCTGGGTCCAAATCCTTAGCTTGAAATAAATGATTTCTTGGATTTTTGCTTGATTGAGGTGAAGGTTGAAATACAATTATATGTTTACATGCAGTGAGCAAAATATGTATTTGGCCCAATATTTCGCGCGCGGTGTCGTGGCAACGTAGAAAACGGGATGACTAGAGGAACCCAATCCAATTTCCTTTTCCTTCTACGTCAACCTCCCTCTTCGATACATTCCAACACTTTACTTTACACCTCAACAGCTTCTCATAATATACAAAGTTCTAGAATACTGTTCCTACTCATTATGGGGTTCAGCGCCCATACATGCGCTTATGCTCTTAGATTCCATCCAGAGAAGAGCCATTCGCCTGGTGGGTGATGCCACACGCACTAACTCTTTGACATCAATGGAACACCGTAGAAAAAGTCGGCGACCTTTCACTTTTCTATCGATACTTCCACGGGAAATGTTCTTCAGAAATCTCTGCTATCATTCCATCACTAGTAATACCAGTCAGACCATAGTCAGACGAACTCGACAAGCTCAGTCAGCACATATTTTCGTTGTCAACCTCGAAATATGTCGAACGGCACTTTATCAAAACTCGTTTGTCTATGAATAGAACGGCAAAGATCTGGATTGCATTGCTTGAGGAAATATTCCCGATCTACGGGCGATGTTCTTCGTACATTATAGGGATTACCTTTCGTGCGGTCCAAGAGATATAAAAAATGAAAACACAAGATTTTATGCCGCGGCTGTCGTTTCATAGCCCATGCGCCGTATGCGAGCTAGGAAACCAACCAACGCATTAAATCTTCTTTTCTACCGTGTGAAACATAACTTTTTCAAATTCGTTTCAATTTCACGCCCAATATTCCATCATTTTTGTTTCACCCAAAGTCATCGTCAATTTTGAATACCAGTTTGATAAAAATTATTGGAACGTTGCATAGCAACAAACTTCTTCTGCCTAGGCAGTAAAAGTACACATTTTGTGCGTCTTCGCAATGGGTGATATACCCGAAGCGTAGATTTGTCCCAGTTGTCAGCAGACCGAGAGCGGCTGATGAGACTTGATGAGTCGAAACAGTACTGTCTTGCTCCTGATGACAATGGGCTTATATCACAATTTTTTTATTTCATAATTCGATAGAACTCACCCAAACTAGCTCACCATCGCAAACCGTTTCTTGCTGTGAGCTCCCTACGTTTTATAAAAAATTATTGAA